GATTTCATGAAAATTCTGCGAATAATTTCTAGTAAATCCTGCAGATAGGTCCAAGATCATTTCTAAAATAATATCGAGAGAATCAAATTTTAAATTAAATTCCAAAGGGATGTTTAGGAAAATTTCAAGGGAATTCCGAGAATAATTTCAAGCTCATTCTGGAAATAATTTCTGGAGAATACAGAGGAAATTCTTCTGAAACTTTAGGGGAATTTCAGTTCCAAGGTGTTCTGGAGAGAAAAAAAAAAGTCCAGGAATATTCCGAGGAGAACCTCAAGGATATTGAATTTTTAGGACAGTTCCAAAATATTTCTGGGGAGAATTCAAAGAAAATTCTGCGGATAATTTCTAGTGCCTCCTGCAGATAGTTCCAAGATCATTTCTAAAATAATACCGAGAGAATCAAATTGTAAATTAAATTCCAAACGGATGATTAGGAAAATTTCAAGGGAATTCCGAGAATAATTTCAAGCTCATTCTGGAAATAATTTCTGGAGAATACAGAGGAAATTCTTCTGAAACTTTAGGGGAATTTCAGTTCCAAGGTGTTCTGGAGAGAAAAAAAAGTCCAGGAATATTCCGAGAAGAACCTCAAGGATATTGAATTTTTAGGACAGTTCTAAAATATTTCTGGGGAGAATTCAAAGAAAATTCTGCGGATAATTTCTAGTGCCTCCTGCAGATAGTTCCAAGATAAGTTTGAAAAGAATACCGAGAAAACCAAATTTTGAGTGCAATTCCAAAGGTATTTTTTAGCAAAATTTCAAGCGAATTCCGCGGATAATTTCTAGCTCATTCTGGGAAAAATTTCTGAAACTCTAAAGGAATTTCAGTTTCAAGGTGTTCTGAGAGCTCTAAAAATATCCGAGAAGAACGTCAAGGACATTGAATTCTGAGGACAGTTCCAAAGGATTGGTGGGGAGTATTCCAAGAAAATTCTGCGAATAATTTTTAGTGAATCCTGCAGATTGTTTCAAGATAATTCCGAAAAGAATATCGAGAAAATTAATTTCTGAGTGAAATTTCGAAGGGATTTTGAGGAAAATTTCAAGGGAGTACCGATAAGTTCCAGCTCATTCCGGGAATAATTTCTGGATAATCCTGAGGAAGTTCTTCTGAAACACTAAAGGAATTTCAGTTCCAAGGTGTTCTGAGTAAAAGTCAAGAAGAGTTCTAAAAATAACACCAGAGGATTTCTGAGAAGAATTTTAAAAGAGCTCATAGAGTTCTAAAAATTTCGAAAGGAACCTCAAGGAATTCTGAGAATGGACTTTTTCGCAACTCCGGAGTGATTTGAGATTTGGGCGTAGTTGTGTTTGTAAACAAACAGATCAATCGCCGATTTCTCGTGAATTACGCCCAAATCTCAAATCACTCCGGAACTGTACAAAGTTTAAAGACAGCTTTTGGATTCCCTAATTGAAAAGTGGGTATTAGTTTGCCATTGAACCTTGGTCTATTATTGTCTTACTAAGAATTCGTCTAAGTATCATTTCGATTAAAGCCCTGCTATTGCAACCATTTGACGAACCGATCATCATCGAAATCGTTGATGAGATTAAAATGCCAATTCCATTGGCTGTCTGAAAACAGTTTGCGTTGCAGAAGATGAACCACCACCGGAGCAAAAAATAAATAAAATTAGCTAAATTGAACACTAGCGAAACAGTGGTGGTTAGACAGCAGCATCCACCACGCACTTTGGAGTACTCCCCATCCCCAGATTAAATGCACCATAGAAGAAAAAAATTGCCCCTCCTTAAAAAGATTCCTGTGCACGCTAGTAGAGTTTCATTCCTGTATTATCGGCATTATCGGTTAAACGATTTGAAAAAAATATCGTCATGGTTGCCAGAATTTATTTTCGATCTCGCCGTCGAGTCAAACATATTTTTTTATTTTTAAAAATCCAAGCAAATTTTCCGCCCCTCAGGATGATTTAGTGGTAAATGCCACCTTCGCCAGCTGCTGAGGACAAGACACAAAACATTCGGGTACCTACTATCTCCTTTATTTAACTCCGGTAAAAATCTTTCAACAAGCCGCTTTTCGCAGCACGACAAGCGAGCTATCTATTTTCTTCATCATAAGATTTTTTAATTTTTCCAGATTTTCTACACGATATATATAAAAAAAAAAAAAAAACAATCGAAATAGGATGAAAATCAACGCCTACTATGATTACGTGGCTGTCTCGGACTGTCCTGCTCGCTTCTTTCTCTTTTTTTTTGAGGGAAGAGAAATGAAACAAGATATTGTGCTACGAACAAATATTAATTGATTTATCACAAAGTCGACAAAATCAATATGGATCTTACTTGGGAGTCAAAAAAAAACTTCTTTAAAGCCATTTGGATTAATGCAATCAACTTTTGAACCTTATTTGCCTGCATTTGTATGCTGTTGTATGGTCAATAGTCCATATACGCCTTCATAATCAGCTTTGTAAACTTCAAAACACTTGTTCTCAAAAAACCCAAGATGAAATATTTTAAAACCATCACAGATTTTATTGTTAGAATCAATACTAACATCCTGTGAAGAAAATACTGAGGTACATGAATGTTGCAAAAAAAGTGCCTTCAGACATAGCGTGCACCAGTATTGACCGATATATTCATTTGGAGTAAACAAACCTCCAACAAAGCAATCGATTAGAAAAAAAGCTTTAGCGATCAACAGTGTTGCCGTTTTATATAATATTGTTCGTGTCATACGTATCAGCATGTGCCATAACGTGCCAAACAGAGTGTCATACTGAGTTTCGGCACAGTATCCAGAGTTGATTCCTCCTTGGTGTGTGCGAATTTTAACACTGAAATCTGATGTCTGTGTTAGGAAATTTTAACTTTTTTTCTTGAATGTTGTAATAATATTGCTTCAAAATCTCGACATTTCATGACGATTTGAGCTAACAGTCATTGTCAAGGCAAACCATGTGAGTTGTCAGTGACAAACATGTGCAGATTTTTTTTATTAGCTTAATTTGTAATGAAATTAAATGACTTGAGCAAAACAATTACATGGAACCGTTAAAGTGAACAAGCGTCTTTGTTCTGAACTGCTTGGATAACAATAATGTGACACAGTATTCACAACTTTACACTTTTGGTAACCAGGTGAACCTTTGTCATTGACGAAAAAATGAATGAGATTTTGACGAAGGTTTTTTTTTGAGGAGTGAGTGAGCAGTGACTCTGTGATTTTTTTGTCAATATCACGCGAAAGTCAATGACAATGACAAATCTCACCACTGGTAAAAACTACTCCGTTACTGATCATAGATGGCTGTTGAATTTTTTGTTGACATGCCAGTCTGACGGGTGTTGTTAGATATAGAGCGATTTCCCCATTTTACCTTTTTTGTGCAATACTTTTCATTCATGGTAAAGGTTAAGAAAAGTAGTCTACATATAGGACATACCAGTAAAAAGAGAGTTGATGTTCAAAAAAAAATCAAGAAAGGGCAATAAGACCTTTTTTCAGATTGCTTATTTGGTTGGCTCAATGTACAACGAGATGACTTTAAACTTTCTACAAAAAATCGTGAAAATTAAATAGTTCAATCAATCTGTTATAATCTACATTAACCCATACTCTGCCCATGACTCACACGGCACTGCCATAGTACTAACAACTTCCGCCATTGCGACGCAAACTGGCATCATTGCATAACGAGCCTCCCTTGATTGGCTTGAGAGCAATTATCAACTTTGATGAAGTCACACGTTTTTCTAAACATCTAAAGTATCACCTTAGAGGCACCTCAATGAAAACATCTCACCCCGGCCATATCTCACTGCGGCCCAATTGCATAACGACACCGCCTCCGTCCGGATCTTTGCGCCAACAAATGGCTCTCATGTCGCTATAGCTGTTGACCTCCCGCTGTTGAACGAGTCTGTTCATCAATACTGCCCTCGGCAAGTTCATTTATACGGGAGGTGGCCGGGTGCAGCGGCCGTGCGTTCAAGTGATGCAACGACCAACGGAGCAGTCACAAGGGAAGCGGGAAGTGTTTGTTTCCTTATTTTGCAAGCTGAATTTTCTAAAAACGTCGACGGGCAGGAAAGGCATCAAACTTCACGTAATCTGCTATTTTTCGCACACGAAAAGGTCTGGGTCAATGTCAAACACTTAATTTTGATGTTATTTCGGGCCGGACCTCTAATGAATAATTTTTCATGTGCGTGTGTTTTTTTTCAATTTCGAAAAATATTGTTATGTTATGTCACCGATCACTAATTCGACTCGCGGTTGGATTTTTTAGGTCACGCTTTAACCTAACTTCCGGTGCATCGAGTCACTAAATTGATACCCTCCTCAAAGCCAGAATATCGTTTTAATATGATAATTACCAGCATTCCAACCGGCTGTCCAATTAGGTGGTTCTAATTTTAGATCCCTGTTGAAGGTTCACCTTGCGATATGATTCAATTATTCCTTATACAATGGTGCAGGCGATACCAATCGTCGCAAATTGGAGAACCAAAGCGCCGGCTGCCAAAAATGCAAATCAACCGGCGCAAATGGCCTTTCCCTTTTTCCAACTGTTTGTAAGTACCTACATATGTCGTACGACACCTCGCGGAACCCCGAATGAGTTAAAGCCCTACAGTAAAAGTATGGACGACTGAAACCAGACAACTGGAAAAAGTTGATCCAATCGAACAACGCACTGCATTTGGACAGTTAAATTGGAACAGCATTTGGCATTTGGCCCATACGTTTACTGTAGGGCTTTACAATGAGTAAGACCGATTACTATCGAATAGTCACTGCATTATTCAGAATTATAAGTTTCTATGACAATAACACGTCTGACTTGCTGCGTCACAACGCACTTGCCAACTTGGGGATAGGTTCGGTAATGTCAGCCAGTCAACCAGGTGCTAAAAACCCACGCCCAACCTAACCTGTTAAACATCAATGAATAATTCAGCCCAGTTGTTACTTTGTGGAATTTTTTTTCAATTAATTTCTCTCCTGTTTCGTTTCAGTGTGTTCTGCTGTCGATACGCACCCTGCACGTTTTGATCCGGTACGCCATGTTCCTGTACGATATGCGCCAGGGAGGAATTACCCATGAATGTGAGTATTTGAATCGGAAAAAAATGTTCGTTTTATATTCAGTAGCAACCTAGGGGCATCGCACTCTAAGCCTTAGTTGATATGTTTATTAAATATCTCGTAAGCATTCTAAAGTATTTTTAGGTATTTTAAATCTTAGCTTCATTTTCATCATAGTAACCTAAGTTGTTGCTCCATCAGTTCGATGATTTTCGATTTGTTAAAATCAAAAATAAACTTATTTCAAATGAAGTATGGATTCATTGTAATGCTGCATGGGAAATGGTACCTATAACAAAATATCTATGTTTTAGTGATCCAGAATGCAAAAAATAAATGTACCAAGGATGCATTTTTCTGATCCGTTTTCCTCTAGATCAGAATCCTCGAAAATGTTTGTAGAAATAACAAAAGAGCTTTAAAAATGTATTGTTCCCCACACAATATGGGAGTGTTACATAGTAGAGATTTTTATATTAAATGTAATATAAAATAAAAGCACTACACACTGAATCTATTTTATTTTCTTTATTTTCATCAACCATGGAATCTACAGTTTACCATAAATCAAAAACAACAATATGGTTTTTTAAATGGTCATTGCGAAAATGGAGCATCCTTCTGCTTTAACTCAATGGTTCCAACTTGATGGGTTTCTTCAGGCCTAAATAATTGCTTTTTGAGCTATAAACTTAAACGAGCAATGATTGATAGCTTCCAATATCCATGCTTCCTCCTGGGACTGGACTACCCGAGCAAAGTCGGTTAACAAAATGAAAGCAAATCGATATTAAAGTGTGCAGTTCCTATCATAATGAAAACTCATTTTGATTACAAATGTTGCGACATAAGTCTGATATCATATTGTGCTTTCATTATGCAGTCAAGACTTTTTAAATGAAAGCAACTTAACTTGAAGTTCTGCTGTTTACGTCTTGTTTAAAATTTAATTGAAATTCATCTGTCGTTGAACTAATGATTATTGTTTATTTGATTTGTTTAACACATTTTAGGTCATTCGTAACTTACCCGGGGTGAGATTGGAGCCCAAGTCTTTCAGCTTGAGAGACATGAATGGTAACCATTTACTCCAGGCCCGTATTCAGTTAAACATTATGAATGCAAAATCAGTAATCAAATTGATTTCATTGAAAGCAGGATTAGTTTTCCGTTTGCTTCAACAGTGTAAAATTTTGCTCTCATTTTTGCTGTGTTAACCGTTAAGTCAACCAAAATGAGATCAATTGGAGTATTCAAAATAAGTTACATCATAACAGCAAATTTTGATTTCAATTTGATCTTCAGCTTTGCTCGGGTAACCAATCACACTGGATACGGCTAGTGGTGTGCAGTTGAAACTGTTAATAGAATAAATGTTAATATTGTATGAAGTTTATAAAAATCCACACAGAAAAGTAAACAACTATAATTTGTCTAGCAACTGACCAAACAAACTATCGCTATAAAGGGTGTCCACGATGAAATTTCCACACACAAAATTGATTCGCAAAATTCGAGTTTTCATCCGATTGCCATCAAATTTTCAGGGATTGAGAAATAACTATTAAACTTCATTTTACCATTTTACTCGTATTTTATTTACAGTCCATACGCAAATGCCCGCACCTTGGCCTTAACCCCGGCCATAAGATTCTGCACAACCTGTGAATCAACCGTTTTTTGCATGTAAACCCATACTTTCTTCAGTTCCTCGACTGTCTTCACTACCTTAGGTCGTTTAAGAAGGTGCTGCTTCATAATCGCCCAGTACTTCTCGATGGGGCGGAGCTCCGGAGTGTTGGGAGGGTTGAACATTTTCGGCACGAAATTGACCTTATTGTCCGCATACCACTTCAGCACGTCCTTGGAGTAGTGGCATGAGGCCAAATCCGGCCAGAAGATTCTTGGGACGTTGTGGGCCTTCAGGAGAGGAAGCAGCCGCTTCTGGAGGCACTCTTTTATGTACACCTGTCCGTTCATAGTGTCCTGGGTCACGAAAGGTGCACTCCGCTTCCCGCACGTGCAGATGGCTTGCCAAACCAGGAATTTCTTCGCAAATTTGGACATCTTCTGAGTGCGGACATGCTCCGGAACGCTGAACTTATCCTTGGCCGTGAAAAACAGGTTGCCGGGGATCTGTTTGAAGTCGGCCTTCACATATGTTTCGTCGTCCATGATGCAGCATTCAACTTTCGTCAGCATGTTGAGGTACAACTTTCTGGCACGGGTTTTGGCGGACTTGTTCTGCTTCTCGTCGCGATTAGGGGCCTTTTGTACCTTGAACGTTCGAAGCCCAGCCTTAGTTTTGGCCTTCTGGACAAAACTTCGGCTTAGGTGCAGCTTCTTAGCCACATCCCTAACGGAGGCGTTCGGATTTTGGTTGAAGGCCCCAACTACGTGGTTGTGATTTTTGGTGTTGTACGGAATACTTTTTCCTTCACTTCTGGGCTTCCGATCGGTGGTCAACCGTTCCTCGAACCACTTAATCACTCGCGACACCGTGGAATTCGCGATTCCCAACGTTTTAGCGATAGAACGATGCGAGAGATCCTTGTTCTCGTGATGAATGCGCAAGATTTTATCACGCACGAGCTGTTCTTTCGACTCCATTTCCGCGAGTTTTGATCACAGGACTTTAAAACTTGCAGGATGTAAATAATGCACTATGAACTAAATCCACCCAAATTTTCATTAAATTCTACCCAACGGTTAAAAAGTTAGAGCAATTTCATAGTGTGGCAATTTCATCGTGGACACCCTTTAGGTATTTCTAAAGTATTTTGACGTAAGACTACGTCTGTGATTTCTATATGGGGCATGGGGGTACACTTTGTTAAAACCAAAAATGGAACATGTTACGAAATTATGAAAGATTTTGAACGTTAATAACTCAGCTGCCCCTGGACCAATTTCAATAATTTTATCACCAATCGATCAGAAATATTCCTACGCATCTGCTCAATTTATCATCATTTTTAAAAATTTCACTGTTGAAAATTTCACGAATGTGCAACTGTTGCTATGATGATTAAAATTATCACCGATTGCCTGCGAAAAGCAATTTCCCTAACACAGATTTCAAAGTTGAATTCCATTCGGTCTCACCAAACGTTGTTTATTCAATCACCGCGTGGTGAGTGGTGGTGTTCTCAAAGTACACAACGAAAGGCTGCCTGCAAGCAGCGAGGTGCAGCCCACATGAGCATCCATAGAAGGAGGAAGAAGCCGCACCGCTATTGATCGGAATCAGTAGCTCTTCGTGAGCCGCTGTGGGCCATACATGTCAAGCACGTCATGTGTTTAACACCCTAATAGCTCAGCATTACTCAACCATCACGGCAAAACGGTCCTTTTCAGCACCGCCATAAATTTGTAAAAGAGTATGTTTCGGACATTTGTCAAGGTCATCAATCGGATGTCAGTTCCCATATCAAGATAGAGCTGGAATTAGGGCGTAACAGCTTTTGTAAACAATGACTTCTTCAATTATAGAGTGGAAGAGGAACCTATACGACCCGTCCACAAGAAACGGATGGGGGAGGAAATTTTGACCAGCTTTCAGTAAAAGAACAGTAGAAGAACAATGGACGGCCATCAAGAATGCCTTTATAGAAACAAGCGAGAACAACTTGGGTGAGCTGCGCACCCAGAGGAAAGAGTGGATCACAGATGAAACCTGGCGGAAGATTGAGGAGCGTAGAGAAGCAAAAGCCGCGATAGAGCGGGCGAGAACCAGAGGAGCCAAGAACGAAGCCCGTCAACGGTACTCGGCTCTAGAGAAGGAAGTCAAGCGCTCTTGCAGACGGGACAAGCGAGCGTGGGTGAACTCCCTGGCCGACGAAGGGGAGAAAGCCGCAAACACTGGCGATATACGCCTCATCTACGATATCTCACGACGCCTGAGTGGAGCAAGGACTGGACAATTGCTTACCAACACTACTACCAGCTAGTTTGAGCACTTCGAACAACTTCTTCAAGTTTCGACGGCCAACCAGCCATCAACATCTCGGCATGATCCGCCTAGGGTGCGACGCATCACTCGCGTCAATTCCGAGGCACTGCAGGAGATTGAAGCAGCTATCCGAAGCATGAAATCCAACAAAGCTCCAGGGGTCGATCGCATATCAGCAGAGATGCTCAAAGCTGACCCCATGCTATCCTCAAAAATGTTACATCAACTATTCGTCAATATCTGGTACACCGCGACTTTTCCGGCAGACTGGATGCAGGGCATCTTAGTGAAGGTCCCAAAGAAGGGGGATCTGACTGTGTGCGACAATTGGCGAGGCATCATGATACTGTGTATTGTTCTCAAAGTTCTGTGCAAAGTTATCCTGAATCGGATACAGGAGAAGATCGACGTGACTCTCCGACGGCAGCAGGCAGGATTCCGTGCCGGAAGATCTTGTGTGGACCATATTGTCACGCTCCGCAAGAGTCCCTTTATTTGGTATTCATTGACTACGAAAAAGCTTTCGACCGTCTCAATCACGGAAATCTGTGGGGCGCACTGAGACGCAAGGGAGTCCCGGATAAAATCGTCATCCTCATCGAAGCGCAGTATGTGGCTTTCACGTACAGAGTTCTGCATAACGGAGGCTTGTCCGACCCTATCCGGGTAGTCGCTGGTGTGAGACAAGGATGTATACTATCACCGCTACTGTTTCTCATCGTAATCGACGAGATCATGGTAGGTGCAATTGACCGTGTACCGAACCGTGGGCTGCTTTGGCAGCCTATCACCATGGAGCATCTCAACGACTTCGATTTGGCTGATGATGTTGCTCTACTAGCACAACGGCGCTCTGATATGCAGAGTAAGCTCAATGACCTATTCGAACGCTCCTCTGCGGCGGGTCTCACCATCAACGTCAACAAGACCAAATCGTTGGATATCAACACGGGCAACCCTTCCAACTTTACGGCGAGGCAAGCAGTGGAGAAGGTCGAAAGTTTCCAATATCTTGGCAGCCAAATAGTGTCGGACGGCGGGACCAAGAGCGACATAGGTGCACGAAACAAGAAGGCTAGGGCTGCCTTTGCGAGTTTACGAAACGTATGGAGATCCAACCAGATAAGTCAACGCACCAAAATCCGAATTTTCAACTCGAACGTGAAAGCTGTGTTGTTATACGCCAGCGAGACGTGGTGTGTATTAGCGGAGAACACTCAAAAGCTGCAGGTCTTCATCAACCGATGCCTGCGGTATATAATTCGTGCCTGGTGACCTCACAACTGGATCTCGAATGCCGAGCTCCATCGTCGATGTCATCAGAAACCGATAGCAACAGAAATTCGAGAGCGAAAGTGGAGGTGGGTCGGCCACACACTTCGACGGGGCGGAAACGAAATCTGCAAGCAAGCAGAGGCAGACCCAGAGGCTCATGGCAGCGGAGCCTCAATAAGGAAATTAAGCAAGTCGATAGGAAATTAAGAGATGAACTAGCCTATGGCTAAAAATCTCTATAATAAAGTATTAAAAAAAAAAAAAAAAAAAAAGTCGATAGGAATCTGACATGGGCCCAGGTCAAGGCAAAAGCGAGCAGCCGCCCAGGATGGAAGTCTTTCACGTTGGCCCTTTGCACCGCTGCTGGTGCACAGGACCCTTAAGTAAGTAAGTTTCAGTAAAATGCTCCCCGGCAAAATCAAACATAAAACTCGAACGGATGGATGTTCACTCCCACCCTAGAAACAACATCCTCGAAACAATTCTGATCGACTCAGAACTACGCAACCTCGAAGACATCACCCAAGCCTATGGTATCGCAGATTGTGATGTTCAAGCACGTTCAAGCCTATCAAGTTCACGATCCTTTGCAGATGTGATACCTTCCACAATGTACCACCAATCAAAACCGATGGCCAATGTACCACCAATGAAAGCCATTAAATGTCCCCCCACTTCATATCTTTCATACCTTGGAAATGGTGCACGATCCAGATAAACTTCGGATCTGCAGTTCAACTGTACCCTGTGGTTGTTGTTGTTCATCTGCACGCCCATGGGATCTTGCCGAACAGCAAATTACTTAGTGCCGTCATGCGTCATGCACTTTCGATATGGAGCAAGGCCTTATAATTGATTGATTGGTTGGCCACCCATCACACCGGATCCTTTTGAGACGAACTAGTGCAATAGAAGAGTTGGGGGGGGGGGGTGTACTCACGCAATAGAATGTAACTGCATTTTTGATTGTATTGATCTGTTCCTCTAAATCCTATACTGTTTCGCTAAGGCAATCGTCCAAACCTGATGAAATATTTGGTTTTAGTACGTATCGACATCCCCCAATAAGTACTGGGACTTGTATGGACATCCCTATAAAGTCCTGTGGATTCCCCATCGAAGTCCATACCAATTGAAACCAATGACTGGCAAAGATACCTAGGGAAAAACGAAAGACCCTTGGCAAGACCGGGATTCAAACCTGGCCGAAATACAAAACCCATCACTCACACCCCCTATGATGTGGTTTTCTTCTTTATCGTTCATTCTGCATAACAAACTTGTAAAACATATCAAAAATCCTCCGCAGCTGGCACAATATTGTCGTCGTTCAGAGGATTTTTGTTCATTCAGTTCGCCGATCGCATTCCGCACCGTACCGTCGTATTGGACGATCTTACAGGCATTTGACCAACCGTTGCTGGAGGGAACCCATTTTGACCATCTTGACTGTCGTATCGACCCCCCTCGACCGACCATGGTATGGAAGAACTCTGCGAAGCTATTCTAAAACGAAACCACGAGCCACTGGGATTTTTGCTACGAATTGGATGAGATAAACATAGTTTCATGGTGCAGGCAATACTCACAGCATTTTTCCTTGGAATCCGAACCCAATGTGAATCCCAATGGAGTAAACAAAGAAGTCAACCTTAGCAACGATTGGCAAAACGTCAACTCTCGGCAGTGATGCCGTTTTATATTATGTCGATTGTATCCTACTTGTCAACGTTTGTCCTAAAGAGCCGAATAGTGCGCCATGCTGTGTTTCGGCACAGTGTGCAGAGTTGATTACCCCTTGACTGAAACTTAAAAGGACTTCCGAGAAACTCAGGAAATTTCCGAAAACTTCAGCAAAGTTCCGAGAGGTTCATGAAAATTTTGGAAACGTAAGGTAAGTTACATGAGTTATTTGAAAATAGAAAAAACAATTTAAGGAAGATCCGTGCTTGTCATGACAGTTTGAAGAACTTTTCAAGAATTTCAATGCTGATGTTCCATTAATGTCATGAAGTGAACCCAACCAGCACAAAGCTGTGGCAGAAAGTCACTTAAAAGTTGCCCGAAGTGTGCTGCTAGGGAAGTTCCGAAATCTTCAAGAAAGTCCAAAGAGTTTCAAAGAAGATTTGATATTTTGCCGTAGTTTCATTGAAGCTCCGAACACTTCGAGAATCATTAGAGAACTTCTAAACAACCCCATTCACTTCAGGAAAATTGCAAGGGATATTTTATGAATATCAGAACATCTGCTGGATCATTAGAACATGTAAGAGACTTCAGGGAGTGTTGTGTTAATATCCCCCAAAAATCACTATCTTCCGGAATGTTTTCCCAAATTCTCCTTTAAGTTTCTTACGACTGTTCCGTAAGCCCTCTGGCATCCGATTTACTCCAAAAGTTTCTTCCAATCTACCAGCGTCGCCAGGAAGTTTCTTCCGTCTTCTCCATCGAATTCTCCAAAAAAATTCTGTCGTCTTCCTCTGGAAGTTTCACCATAAGCCATTGGTTTTTTTTTCAACTTCTATTGGAAGGTTTATCCGAGCATCTTCTCTCATCCCCTGGAAATAACTACTCCTGGAATTTGCTTTGGATTTCCGAAGCTTTTCTGGCTTCCTCTGGATTTTTTTTTTCCGAATGGTTCGTTAAATTTTCGCCAGAAATTTTTCAATAATCGTCCTGGAAGTTCCTTGGATGTGTTTCCGACTTTTCAAAGAAAACTTTCAAAGTTCCTCCGAAAAAGCTTCTTTATTTTTTCTTTGGTTTTATCGACTTTCTTCAGAAGCTTATTCAAAGAATCCCCGTAAATTTGTTTGGACACCTTATGGACAGTAAATTTTCCCGTTCTTAGTCCAAAAGTTTGAATTTCAGCCTTCGGCATGAATCGGCATGAACATATACACAAATTGATTAAAATAGTAAATACCGATAAATACCGATTTTTTAAACGTTTGATACTTCAGTAAAGTTGCTTCTACAACTTTTCAAAAATTGTGTTGGTCTATCTGAAATTTTTAAATGAGGTTACAGTGTACAGTGGATCGGAAATGAAATCTGGACGATCTCGAGCTCTGGGATTACATCCAATTGAGTTGACATCATCTGCAATGTTTCTTGACTTAGGTAGGACCTTCATTTGGTGGATAAAAATATTTAAAGTTTTAGCCGTTTTATTTAGTACGCTAGAGGTTTGCTGTTTTTGGCAAAGTTGTAGAACATGCTGTATATCTTCAACGAACAGATATATATGTAGTTTTGTAAAATTTGTCTGAAATTCACGTTTTATGTTCATTCAAATTAATACTTTTTAATTCATTCAAATTTTACACAGATGTTGTTGACCTCAATACACATATAAACTATAAACTTGACCCACCCTTATGTACATAATATGATTGTTTAAATAAATTATTTAAATATATCGTCTGAATCAAATCCAAATATCTCAAATATATCTCAAAATACCTTTGAGGGATGATAGTCTATTTGAAGTTCATTTTGAATAACTGATAACACGTTGTGTTCACTTGCGCTTTTTCGAGAAAACCATGTATTATTTTCAAATTTCATATGATATTTATGTGTTAGCACTGTAAAAATAAAAGTATTGTTCATTGGACTGGACCAAAACCGATCGAAGAAAAATGATAAAAGTATTCATTTGAATGAATTTATAGAACTTAATACTAAAATGTGAATTTCAGACATATTTTACAAAACTGCAAATATCTCTGTTGTTTGAAGATGTACAGCTTTTATGTCTTCAGCAACTTTTTGTAAAGTATTATGTTCTACAACTTTTCCGAAGACAGCAAACCTCTAGCGTAAGAAATAAAAAGTTGGAATCGCTGCGCCATCTTTACGGCAAAAACTATTTTTATCCACCAAATTAAAGTCCTAACTAAGTTTTTCCAACTAGATTTCATTCCTAGCCCACTGTGCAGTGGGCCCCTTGATTGTTAAGTTCAAATGTTCAATTTTTTAATTATTTGCGATAATTTGAGTTTAGCATTTCGAGCTCTCTATCGCACCACCCAATCAGAACTACCACATCATCCTGCACGCGTCTGAATCCGCTTAGTCATGGTGAGTTACCATCTGATTGAAGACCTAACTTGTGTCTGCTTTACAGTTACAGCACCGTCCAAGCCACGCGATCTCTCATGCATGATTTTTGTTTTACAGAATTCATTAAGCCCTCCCCTCTGATGCACCGATTAAGATAATCTTTCACGTTAATCACCTTTATATGCTAATCGACTGCTTCCGTCTTGTCCATTTCAGCAGCAATTTCGTGGGACAAACGCGGTCCGGTGGCGTACTACATCGAGCTATCCTTCGAGGTGGCGGCTCTGGTGGTGGACTTTGGCCACCATCTGCATATGCTGCTGTGGAGTAACATCTTCCTGTCGATGGCCAGCCTGGTGATCATCATGCAGCTGAGGTACTTGATCAACGAGATCCAGCGGAAGATCAAGAAACACCGAAACTACCTCTGGGTGTTGAATCACATGGAGAAGAGCTACCCGCTGGCGACGGCCGAGGACCTGAAGCAGAATTGCGACAATTGTGCCATTTGCTGGGAGAAGATGGAAACGGCCCGGAAGCTACCCTGTTCGCATCTGTTCCATAAGTGAGTGGCATTCTCCCTGTTCAATATTTAATGTCTAATGATGATTTCTATGTTTTTAGCTCCTGTCTTCAGTCTTGGTTGGAACAGGACACTAGTTGTCCCACCTGTCGTCTGGGACTGAGCGTCCACAACAACAATGTTAACATTCTTCCAAACGAGATCCGTATCGACGACACGGAAACGGCCGGTCGAACGGCCAACAACCACTTCTTCCACTTCAACGGCTCTCGGTACGTGTCCTGGTTGCCAAATTTCTCCGTTGAAGTGACCCACATCAATTCGGTCCTCCGGAATGAGCCAAGCCCTCGCGAGACAACGGTCAATCACACCTCGCAAATCCGGAACATGGCACGCCACGTGCAGGAGATGTTCCCTCGCTTCCCGCTGTCGACTTTGATAGGCGACCTGCAGATTTCCCGCTCGATCGAAGTCACGATCGATAATATCCTGGAAGGACGCCTGCAGGTACCGGCTCGATTCCAAGAATTTGAAGATCTACTTGACGATGACACGGCTACCAACACCACCACCACTAACATTGGCAACGACGGTAATAGCACTAGCGGCACCCTAAGCAATAGCAACAGTTTCAACAGTCAACCGGAAACGCCCGGCTCCAGCAGCAGTACGCTGGGTGACTTCCCTGCCATAACCGCCAACGATTACTACGTCAATGCGGACGAATTCAGTCCGAGTAGTCATTACGGGGGTGGCGGGGGTGGTGGTGGATCCAGTGCGTCCACACCTTCTTCGGCTGGCAGCAGCAGCGGTTACGAGGTGGAACGGAGCACCAACATCTTCGGCAACTTTGACAACCTGCTGCGGGACGACAGCTTCGATGACGTTCCTCTGGGCGATCGGTTCTCCAAGAGTTCGGAAGAACGGGAACGGATCCTGCAGCGGCGAAAGGAACAGCTGCTCATCATTGCGAGAAGAAAGTGAGTACCGGGGGTGGGGTATTTTTTTGTTTTTAGGTACCTACCTCCTCAACTGCTACGTCATTTATGCATGTTCCCTAGTAGTGATTTGGTTCTGAAATTTCTTTGAGGATGCTATTGGAATTTGCTCATTGGAATTTCTCTTGGAATTTCCTTGGCCTTCCTTATCTTAAAATGACACTGGAATATCTCTTGTAATCCCTCTTGATATTCTTCTTGGAATTCTTCTTGAAATGGCCATGAAATACCTTCAGTAACCCTGGAGTTGCTTCTCAAATTTCGTTGGGAATAATTCTGGAATCCCCTTGGAATTCCTTCTGCAATGCCCTAGAATTCCTTTGTGTAGTCCCCGTGGCATTGTTTAAATGTTTTCTTGAAATTACTTTTAAGATGCCCTTGGACCTTCTTTTGGGATTTCCTTTAAAACTACTTCCAGAATTTATCGACATTCTTTCTTTAATTTTTTTGAAATTCCTTCTGAAATATACGTTTGAATTCTTCTTGAATTTCCTTAAAATATCTCCATGGACACTTTTAGAATTAATCCTGGAGTTTTGAAGTTTCTGGGGAATTTTATCCAGAACTCCTTTGGTATTACGTCCTAATCCAAATAATACTTCTAGAATTAGCTTTGATTTTCTTCTGGAATTCCATGAAAGTTTCTCTTGGAACTTCCTTCTAATTCATTATTAAGTATAATGAGAGAGAGAAGGATTAGTAATTTCCATTTAATTCCACTACCTTATTTGCTTATCCTTGACAGATACGCGTATTTTTTTTTTCGAATAATAGTCGAGTATTAGTACAAGACACTGAAGAAGTCTGCACATTGTAGACGAAATACGCGTATCGGTCAAGGATAAGCAAATAAGGTAGTGGAATTAAATGGAAATTACTAATCCTTCTCTCTCTCTCTCATTATACAGGTATTCCACTAAGACGCCCACATCCATCAGGATTCATTTTTAAGTTTTGTTTTAATTTTTTTCTGGAATTTTCTTAAATTTATTCCGGAATTATCTTCAACTTCGTTCTGAAATTCATTTTGAAGTTTATCATAAATTCCTTTGTGAATCCTTCGGAAATGCACTTTGTATTCCTTCCGCAATGCCCTAGGAATTCATTTTGAAATGCTCATGGAATTCCATCTTGGATTTCATTGAAATTCCACTTGTTCTATGCTGGAATATCCTTTGAAGTCCTTCTCGAATTCCCATGAAATTAACTCATGAATTCCTTTGAAATTCCTTCTGCGCTGCCCTTAAATCTCCTTTTAGGCTTTTAGAGTCCCTTCTTGAAATCCGGTAGAATTCCGTCCGTATTTTCCTTGGCATAACTTCTTCAATATTTTAGGGATTCATTCTCGAATTCACTTGGAATTCATTCTGAAATCCTCATAAAATTTATTGTGAAATTCCCTTAGAATAAATTTTGGAATTTCCTTCGAATTTCTTCTGGATTGTCGTCGAAATTTCTTCTAGAAATCCCTTGGAATATCTTTACTTTGTTTTTCCTGGTTTCTCTTGAAGTTCTTTCTAGAATCCCCATGGAATTCCTTTTGGACTTGGATTTCGAATGGATCTGAAATGCCATTTGAATTCCTTCTGAAATTCTCTTGGAATTCCATTGAAATTAAATCTGAATTCAAATCATTCTGACATTCCCTTTGAATAACTTTCTTCTGATGGTACTTCTGGAACCCCCGTCTAAATTCCTTTTGTAATTCTCTTGGAAATCCTTATGGAATCTCATTTGAATTGCTTCTTGAATTTCGTTGAAATTATCTTATAGAATTACTTTGGAATTCTTCCTAGAATAAAGATGCGTTTGTTTCTGGAATTCGCATTGAATTCGAGCGACAATTATATCGAAATCTCTTCTGGATTTCTACTAGAATTTTTCCTAAAAATTCCTTCTAGAATTCTCAAGCAATTAAGTCTGAATTTCATTTCAATTTTCATTGAAAACCGATGGTCACCAAAGCCGTCACAGAAATTGTTGTAATAGAAACTTTTATGGCGATGATTTCTGTGACAACAGACATCCTTGAAATTTAAATTTCTCTTCGAATTCCTACCGAAGCTCCTGGTAAAGTTTATGTGTAATTTGTTATTGAATTTCAGTTGAAATTCCTATCAAAATCCTTCTGACGTTCCACAGGAAATAACCTTGGGATTTCCTTGGAATAACTTCTAAAATTTCTTCAGGAAGTTTCTAGTAATTCCTGAAATTACCAAATAATTCATTTTGAAATTCCCTTGAAATAAGTCATGGAATGCTCCTGAAATTTCATCTGCAGTTCGTTTAGATTAATTCAGTGGTAGATCATTCTGAAATCTTCTATAATTCTTTTTCATGAAATTTTATAGGAATTAAATCTGAAATTATCTTGGAAATTCTTCTGGAATTTCTCCAGTGCATTCATTCTAGAACCCCCTAGACATTCATTCTGAATTTCCACTTTTTTCCGGAAATTCTTTGGAATTTCTCATGAAATTTCCCTTCATTTACTTCTAGAAATCCCAGAATAATTTCGTTGGAATTCCATTTGAAATACGCTTGAAATTAAATCTAAATTCTCAACTTATGAATTCGTAAACCGTAATGCACCGAATATCGGACAGTATTTTAATCCGGACTCTTGTAATTCCTTTTGATATTCTTCTTTGAGTTCCCCTTGGTCATAGAATTTCTTCTGTAAGCTTGGTGTTGCTTCTCAAATTTCTTTGGGAATAATTCTGGATCCCCTTGGAATTCCGTCTGCAATAATATTGAATTACTACTGGAAATGCCATTTGAATTGCTTCTGAAATTCTCTTGGACCTTCTGGAATTAAAATTTATTCTGAAACCTCAATAGAATTCATTCTGAGATTCCCTTGGAATAACTTCTAAAATTCCATCAAGAATTTCCTAGTAATTCCTTCTGGAGTACCGCTGAAAATCATCCTGAAATTACCAAATAACTGATTTTGAAATTCCCTTGAAATAACTCATGGAATGCTCCTGAAATGTCATCTGCAGTTCGTATTGATTCATTCTGTTCTAAAATCTTCTATATATTGTTTTTGCATTAAATTTTATAAGAATTAATTCTGAAATTATTTTCGAAATCTTCTGGAATTTACATGGAATTTCTCCAATGCATTCATTCTAGAACCACCTAGACATTCATTCTGAGTTTCCTTTTTTTTTTCTTCGGAAAATCCTCGGAATTTCTCATGAAATTTCCTTTCATTTACTTTTAGAATTACCAGAAAAATTTCCCTTGGAATTAATTCTTAATTCCCAACTTATGCATTTGAATTGCATTCGAAAGACTTCTGTTATTTCATCTGGAATTCGTATACCGTAATGCACCAAATACCGGACAGAATTTCAATCCGGACTCTTCTAATTCCTCTTGATATTCTTCTTTGAATTCCTCTTAAAATGGTAAGGGAATTCCTTTTGTAAGCTTGAAGTTACTTCTCACTTTTGTAAGCTTGAAGTTGCTTCTAGATCCCCTTGGAATTCCATCTGAAATAATCTTGAAATGCCATTTTAATTGCTTTGAAAATCCCTTGAATATATTGGAACTCCATAGAAATTAATTCTGAAACCTCCATGAAATTTAATCTGAGATTCCCTTGGAATAACTTACTTACGACTATACTTCTGGAATATCCTTGAAACTCCTTCTGAAAACCTTCTGCAATTCTCTTGGGAAACCTTACGAAATCTCATTTGAAATTATCTTCTGGAATTCGCTGGAATAAAGATGTGTTTGTTCCTGGAATTCGCATTGAATTTGAACTATAATTATTTCGAAATCTATTCTAGATTTCTCCAAGAATTTCCATGTGCGATTCTCAAGAAGTGTATTCTATTCTATTCTGTTTTAATTTATTAGGAACATATTTTCTGTTTAATGAGGCACAACGCGCCGAAACCGTCGCATAAATTGTCGCCATTTTAGAATTTCAGCTGAAATTTCTATGAAAATTATTCTGGAGATCCACAGTAAATACATTTGGAATTTCCTTGGAATAGCTTTTAAAATTCCTTCAAGAATTTACTTGGCATTTCTTCTGGAATGCCGTTGAAAATCATCCTGAATTTCACAAATAATTATTTTAATAATTCCCTTGACATAACCCATGGAATGCCCCTGGAATTCCATCTGCAGTTCGTATAGATTCATTTTAAAATTCTCTGGAAGTTCATGCTGACATTTTTCTTGAAATTATATAGGAATTAATTCTGAAATTACCTGGGCAATTCTCCTTGAATTTGCTTGCAATTTCCCCAGTGCATTGATTCTAGAATCCCCTTGACATTTATTCTTGAATTCGATTTATATTTTTCCGGAAAGTCCTTGGAAATTCTCATGAAATGTCCTTTCATTCACTTCTAGAAATCCCAGAAGAATTTCCTTGGAATTTCATTTGGAATACGCTTGGAATTAAATTTAAATTCCCAATTCATGAATTCGTCTACCGTAATGCACCGAGTACCGGACAGTATTTCAATCCGGACTCTTGAAATTCCCTTTTGATATTCTACTTTGAAATAGTCTCTTGGTCATAGAATTTTTTCTGTAAGCTTGGAGTTGCTTCTCAAATTTCTTTGGGAATAATTCTGGATCCCCTTGGAATTCCGTCTGCAATAATATTGAATTTCTATTTGAAATGCCATTTGAATTGCTTCTGAAATTCGCTTGGACCTTCAGGAATTAAAATTTATTCTGAAACCTCAAAAGAATTCATTCTGAGATTCCCTTTGAATAACTTCTAAAATTCCATCAAGAATTTCCTAGTAATTCCTTCTGGAGTACCGCTGAAAATCATCCTGAAATTACCAAATAACTGATTTTGAAATTCCCTTGAAATAACTCATGGAATGCTCCTGAAATGTCATCTGCAGTTCGTATTGATTCATTCTGTTCTAAAATCTTCTTTATATGACCTGTTTTTGCATTAAATTTTATAAGAATTAATTCTGAAATTATTTTTGAAATCT